AAAGGATGAGGGGAGATCTCATAGGAATGTATCGGATTCTGATAAGATTAGACAGGGTAGATGCAGGATGTTCCTGGTGATGGGGGAGTCCAGAACCAGGGGTCACAGTGTTAGGATAAAGGATAGTTCTTTTCTGACAAAGATGAAGGGGAATTTCTTCACCCAGACCTTGTGGAATTCTTTGCTACAGGAAACTCTTGAGGCCAAAACATTGAAGATTTTAACATGTGGATATGGTTCTTCAGGCTAAAGGGATCAAAGTGTATGGGAGAGAATGCAGGAACAGGGGACAGAGTTGGATGATCAGCCGTGATCCTATTGAATGGTGGAGCAGGCTCCAAGGGTAGAATGGCCTACTCCTGCTCCTATATTCTATATGCTTCTAAAAATCAGATTTAGAGTTAAACAATTAACACAATCAATCTCTACTGAAGCTCAGGCTGAAAAAATTCTGGAGGGTTACGATATTAACGTTCAAATGCTGATCAGGAAGTGGAGACATCTCACAGACCTACAGTGTGGTACTGCCCAAATATTGCAAGGAGATATTGTAAGGAGTACACAAAATTCCTATGGCAGGATATGCAGGAATATTTAAAAAAAAGTCAAGCATGGACAAAACAGTGTTTTTACTGACCGGTCTTCATAAGGATGTAGTACAGTCTGTAAAACACGCCATAGATATCAGTTAGTGAGCAAATCTCAACATATAATCAAACGAGCAACTTTAATAATAAGGTGTAGAGCTGGATGAACACAGCAGGCCAAGCAGCATCAGAGGAGCAGGAAGGCTGACGTTTCGGGCCTAGACCCTTCTTCAGAAATGGGAGGGAGGAGGGTAACTTCTTCAGGGTAGGCATCCTTAGAAGAGGCTTCGCACTGGGGTTAAAATTGTTTCAGAGATAGTAGGAACTGCAGATGCTGGCATTTCTGAAGAAGGGTCTAGGCCCGAAACGTCAGCCTTGCTGATCCTCTGATGCTGCTTGGCCTGCTGTGTTCATCCAGCTCTACACCTTGTTATCTCAGATACTCCAGCATCTGCAGTTCCTACTATCTCTGTAGCAACTTTAATATCCATACCAGTTTTTAAAGAACCGTTCAATAAAGTATTAGACCATAACCCATTCTCCTGCCCTCTCCCTGTAACCCTTGATCCCCTTACCAATCAAGAATCTATCTCTATCTTAAATACACTCAGCCTCTGCAGTCCTTTGCGTCAATGGGTTCCTCACCTTCACCATCCTCTGGCTTAAGAAATTCTCCCTCATCTCAATTCTAAAGGGTTGTCCTTTCACTGAGACTGTCACCTTGGTTCTTAATCTCTCCTACTAGTGGAATCATCAGATTCAAGTTTCAATCAGATTGCCCCTCACCCTTCTTGCTGGGGAACTCCATAAGGTACAGACCCAGAATCCTCAGCCACTCCTCATATGACAAGCCCTTCATCCCAAGGTTCTTGTAAATCTCCTCTGGACCCCTCCAACTCCAGCACATTTGGAGGGGGCCCAAACTGCTCACTATATTCCAAATGCAGAGTGACCAGAACCTTATACAGCCTTAACAGTTCATCTCTGCTGTTGTATTCTATCCCTCTTACAATGAATACCAACATTGCATTTGCCTTCCTGACTGCCAACTGAACGTGCATGTTAACTTTAAGAGAATCCTGAACTAGGACTCCCAAGTGCCTTTGTGCTTCAGATTTTCAAAGCCTTCCCCCTTTATCCTCACTCTCTGTCTCTGCCAGTCAGCCAATCTTCTACCAATGCCAATATCTTGCCCTAACACCATGGGGGTTTATCTTATTTAGCAGCCTCCTTTGTGGCACCTTGTCAATGGCCTTCTGGAAATCCAAATAGATCACATCCACTGGCTCTCCTTTGTCTAACTCGCTTGTTATCCCCTCAAAGAATTCTAACAGGTTTGTCAGGCAAAATACAAAATCAGAATTTAAAAAAGAAACGAGAGAAGAAATAAAAGAAATAGAGCCAAAAAAAGAAAAACGTCTAGCTTGACTTAAAGTCCTCATCAAAATGAAAAGGAAAAAGTCCAGATTTTAAAGTCATATCTCCCTGGGCCTAGCCCTGGTTTGGAGTTTCAGTCAGCCTCCTCCAGGGGCACACTCCACCAATCGCCCTTTGCTGCTGCCACCAATCATTAGGAGAAGCTGCCTCTGTTGCCGTGGCCGCCACACATGCTCAGGCCTGCCCTCCACATGCTGAAGACGCCGATAAAGTTTTTTTCGCATTACTGGCTAGTTTACCCTCGTATTTCATCTTCTCACCCTCGTTGCTTTTTTAGTTTGAGTTTGAAACGAAAACAGAAATTGCTGGAAAAAGTCAGCAGGTCTGGCAGAATCTGCAGAGAGAAATCAAACTTAACGTTTTGGGTGTAGTGACGCTTCTTCGAAACTGATGGCAGGTAGAAGAATGTTGTTTTTTTAAGCAGAAGATTGGGCGGAGGGAAATGGGGTAAGCAGTAAACGATAGGTGGCGATAGAGCCCAAAGAAAGAGAAGGACAGTTGGACAGACAAAGGTGTGGATACTGATCTGGCGAGGAGGGTGAACAGCTGCTAATGAGGACAATTAGAGGTTAACAATGCGTTGTGTGTAGTAGCAGTCCATGTGATAAATTGGTAAGAGTCCTAGTGAACATGCTGAATTTCCTTAGCCTCCTGAGGAAGCAGAGAGGCATCGTCGTGCCTTCTTGACAAGAGTGGACCGGGACAGTTTATTGGTGATCATCACTCCCAGGAACTTGACCCTCTTATCCATCTCTACCCGAGCTCCATTGCTGGAGATTTAGTTATTCCCTGCTAGTTTTTAAAGGCTTCCCATTAATCTTCACCACATTGTAAGCTTTCTTTTGCTTTTATGCGGTCTCAGACTTCCATTGTCAGCAATGATTGCCTCATCCCGCCCCTTAATATGTTTCTTCTTCCTTGGGATTAATTTCTGCTGTGCCTCCTGAATTACCCCCAAAAACTCCAGCCTTACCAACAATAACGTAATCGCCAATTTCAATTTATGCTGTAAGCTCATTCACCTTGTTTCATACACTGCATGCATTTAAGTACAATCCCCTCAGACCTGCATTGACTTGTCACCCTTCTCACTATTGTCCCCTTATCTGCTGTGCCGGAAATTAGATTCCCCAGCCTTTCCATACTCTCCGTCTAATTACTTGTTCTGGAACTTTAATAACCTCTGCTGAGCCTTCCCCCACCCTTCCCCACTTAACTTTTTCCATGCAATTGAACCCCTAGTTATGTAATTCGCCAGGACTCTGGTCCCAGCATGATTCAGGTACAGCCCGTCCCATTGGAACAGCTCCCTCCTTCCCCAGTACTGGTGCCAACGTCCCATGAACTTAAACCAGTTTCTCCCACACCAATCTTTGAGCCACATGTTTACCTCTTTAATCTTGTTGACCTTATGCCAATTTGCTCGTGGTTTAGGTAGTAATCCAGAGATCATTATCTCTTTGGTTCTGCTTTCTAATTTAGTTCCTCGCTGCTCGTAGTCCCTCAGCAAAACCTCTTTCCCCAATATTATTGGTACCAACGTTGACCACAACAACTAGATCATTCACTTATAGTCACACTTTCCTGGCCCTGACGACTGACCAAATTCAAGGAAGTTAATTGAATTAGTGTGACTGCCTCCTGAAACTCAGTGTCCAGGTAACTCTCCCCCTCCCCGATGCATCACAATGTTTAAAGCTTAGATTCCAGCTCATCAAATCTGAGCCTCAGTTCCTCAAGCAACCAACACTTGCTACAGATGTGGTCACTATAGACCACAATGGGGTCCACCAGCTCCCATACTATGCAATTACAACACATTGCCTGGCCCTGTTTCTCTATTTTACTTACTTAGTTCTTAAGTTAATTTTTAAAAATTTGCCATTGGTCCGTTAGTTTGTAACTTGTAAATATTTCCTCAATTTAACTTCAATCTGAAAGTAACTAATAATTAAAAAAAAACTGGACAGGCAATGGTCTAGTGGTATTATCACTATCCAGAAACTCAGCTAATGTTCTGGGGACCCGGGTTAGAATCCCACCATGGCAGATGGTGGAATTTGAATTCAATTGAAAAAAAAACAGGGAGTTAAGAATCTACTGATGACAATGAAACCATTGCTAATTGTTGGAAAACCCCATCTGGTTCACTAATGTCCTTCAGGGAAGGAAATCTCTCATTCTTACCTGGTCCAGCCCACATGACTCCAGATGCACTGCACGTGGTTGACTCTCAACTGCCCACTGAAATGGCCCAGCAAGTTGTATCAGTCACTACAAAGTCTCAAAGAAATGAAACCAGACCGAGGCACCGGAGAGACAATGGCAGAAACAGCCCTGTCGACCCTGCAAAGTCCTCCTTACTAACATCTGGCGGCTAGTGCCAAAATTGGGAGAGCTGTCTCACAGGCTAGTTAAGCTACAGCCTTACACAGTCATACTCAGAGTCATACATTACAGGCAATGTCCCAGACGCCACCATCACCACCTCTGGATATGTCCTGTCCCACTGGCAGGACAGACCCAGCAGAGGTGGCAGCACAGTGGGATACAGTCAGGAGGAGTTGCCCTGGGAGTCCTCAACATTGACTCAGATCCTGAGGTCTCATGGATTCAGGTTAAACATGGGCAAGGAAACCTCCAGCTGGTTACCATGTACTGTCCTCCCTCAGCTGATGAATCAGTGACAGGTGAGGATAAGATTAAATAGATCTTTCTCTCTTGTTGGTTCTCTGTGGCACCCTGAGTCTCACAGCTATGTTCTTTAGGACTCAGCCAGCAGTGCTGCTGCAAAGCCACTCTTGGTTATCGTTACTGATGTCGCCCATCCAGAGTATATTCTATGCCCTTATCCTAAGTATTTCCTGCAAGAACTGCAGCACCCTAGCTTGTCTTCTTGTGAGTGATATCTGAACCCCTGACCTTTTGACTTCTATGTTCAATACTTTCACTTTTTTCTACAAACAACAGACATGATTTCTGCTAGCATATAAATATTTTAATTGTATTTGAAATACAGCCAAATTTAAAAAGCATAATTGATACATTTTAAAATAAAATTACTGAAGTTGTAAACCTGCTCTGCCACTAGAAGATGGCATCTGTTTCTTTTCATATTTTAACCATTAATTTTTTTTAAGTTAAAATAGTCATTTATAGAACCAAATTCTAAAGCTGCAGCAAGTCAACAATTTCAGTAATTCAGCAGCAGATTTTTCAGAAAATCCCAGTGTGGTTCACAACCTCTAAAACCAAGAAAACACAGACACAGCACACTCCCAAACAAGAGGAAAATGTTACACTTCTCAGTCACCACACAGACTGACACCAACCATGTAACTAAGACTCCTCATAGATAGAAGGGAAGGACGGGAGAGAAACCTGCCTCTCTGAGCTTGGTCGAACCTAGCATTTTCCATTTTTACAGGTCAATCAGAACATTACAGCAGTAATATTGAGAATAGAGGCATTTTGGTTTGGAGCCCTGATCTGGCCTTCTCATTGTATAGGGAGATCTGACACACATTATCATGTCTTCCTGTTTGGTGAGTGGTCCAGGAGAGGTGGGGGGGGCGGGGTTAGTGAAAGTGCAAGTTGACAGCATTTCCCATCACCATTTTTGTTTACATCAACTGTGATTAGACAAGACTGCTGGACAGCAATCGAAAACATCCTGACCTCTAACATGAAGGTGGCTGCTGACTGAAAATCAATGCAAGGATAAAGATCAGTGCAAACAATCAGCCATCCAGATTCTCAGTGATTGGACAACAGAATCTGGTTGCTTTCATTCGTTGGCCATGATTTCAGGTAGATGAGGGGGTAGACATGGCAATATTTGTACTGGGTTAACTTTGTGTTTAACAGCAGCCCGGGCTTAATCCTAGGGTTAACTGAATTTCTGCAGAAAACAGTATCTGTCCAAGTTGGAACTGTGGGTGGGGGAACCAATCTTTAGGAAGACAGAGGCAGCAAAGGAGTGATTCGCCCACTAGTTTGGATGGGAGAATTATTTTAAAAATGCATTTGTCTAACACGCTCAGAGAAGCAGGACTGACAAGTTATAGCTGAAGCAGAATGAGCTAACAGAGAAAGCTAAACTCTATCAGGTCACCGCAGCTTCAAAGAATAAATGACGCACTGACGATCCTGGAGTCTGACACTAAAAAGCTGAACATCACACTCCCCTGGACTTCCTGTACTTTTATATCTTTTGGATCTAGACTAGGACAGACTTCAAGGCAAGTTTGAGTTCTGAAAACATGACAGATTAGTAGCAGATAGACAGGAAGCACCATCTAGGTTGAGCTACAGAATAACACAAGGAGGGCGACTCTTGACAATTTTCTGTACTTCTTCTCCATTGTTGGCTTTTTGGATTGCATCGAGGACCTACAAGAGAGGGGGAGTAATCAAACCAAGTTGAAAAACCACTTCTCATATAACCTGCTTAGCAAGCTACACAGCAATCAGCATCAACTGCATTCTTCAGATTTGATTTGCTTAGTCATGTACTCGTACACAGATATTTCCTTAAGAGTACCTCCCTGGAGTTTATTGTTAAACAAGTACTAAAACATTGAGAAATTATGCCACACCTTCAACACAGTCAAACGTCACAAAGCTTTTCAAAGTAGTAATCAAGCAAACTTTGGTACAGAACTGTGGTGGGAGACATTTGGACAGAAAGTTGAAAGTTTGGGTTTATTTTCAGAAGTGAAGTAAAGGAGGAGGTCTGGTTACAATTCCAGAACTTAGGACTGAAGCAAATAAAGGCAAGACTGCCAATGGTTGAGTGATTAGAATCAGGAAGTTTTTATTTCCTATTTGTTTATGGGATGTGGGCGTCGCTAGCTGGCCAGCATTTCTTGCCCATCCCTAGTTGCCCTTGAGAAGGTGATGGTGAGCTGCCTTCTTGAACCACTGCAGTCCTCCTGCATATAGCGAGGGAATATTAGAGGCCAGAATTAAATGAGTGTAGTATTGGAGGAGCTTATGGAGATAGGGAGCAAAGCCAGGGAGGAATGTGAGCACAAGGACATTATATAATATGCCAATGCAGGTGAACAGCAAATGACATTTCAATAGAGTTTGATAAGGCCAAATGCTGGAAAATGGGATTCAAATACTTAGGAGGTTGTTTTTGACTGCTGCATATTGGCTTAACGGCCTTTTCCTGTGTTGTAGACCTCCAGGACTCTAAAAGTGGAGCCACTGGGCCAATTGGTCCGTTTCGGTGCCAGGATTCTGGCAAATTCACCAGGATATGTAGCGAGGAATAAGGTGGAACAAAGGGCAAGCAAATGTGTTTAGATTTCTATGAATATAGTTTTGAAAGGATTAAAATGTCTACTTACATCTTCAGGGTATGGAAAGCCACCAGTTTCTAGCTTGGAAAAGACCAGCTTCCCATTGATTTCAATCTCAAAGCTGCCTGAAGTCAGAGAAAGAAAATATCATTGAAACACACAAATTACAATCTGTCTTAGAGTACTTAATGAAGATACTGCTGTAAACCATGCCATGGAGTGACTGGGCTCAATCTATGGCCATGACCACCTCTTAAATCAGTCATGATCTAGCAAATTGGAAGAACAGCTCAAAGGACCAAAAAGTCTTGCTCCTCGTGGAAACACAACAGGAATGATGGCAAAGCTGTAGTCAAAAGGAAGAAAGGCTCCAAGGCTCCTCCAACAGCAACTTTTAAACCAGTAACCTCTACCCCATAGATGGATAAGGGCAGCAGAAACACTGGAAACCATTGCCCACAAATAACGTTCCCTCTAAGTTACAGTTGGGCAGACAAAGGAATGAATGGGTCAAGGTCAGCCTGGAAGAATCAATAGCAGCTAATGGGGATTGTTAATGGCTTGACAATGGGTTGTTTGTGGTAGCAGCCCATGTGATGACAAGGCCTGCTGTGTGGGAGTTGGGTAAGGACATTGGAGAAGGTGCTAAGGCCGTAAAATTATTGAACTCTATATTCAGCCCTGAAGACCACAGGGTTCCCAAATAGAAAATGAGATGCTGGAATCTGAGATGCTATCTCTGCTGAAATGAAACCTTGTTTTTGTTTCTGATTTCCAACATCTGCAGTTCCTTAGATTTTTTTTTGTTTAGTGTCACAAAATAAATAATTGGGCTGGGAGTCTGTGGATCACTTCAATCTCCAGTTACACAGGACTGCTGTGAGCAGGTATCCTTACCCAAGGTCCCCAATGGAAAGTGAGAGATTCCCACATAAAGAGGCCTCCATTGTGAAGCTCCATTGAATGTTCAGGAGTTTCCAGACAGTGGATAAAGGGAGAAAAAGTGGATGATGTGCAGCAATACACCTTTGGAGCAAACGGAACTTGAAACAGGCATTCTTGCCCAGAGGTACAGACAATGCCACTGTGCCACAACAGCCTCAAAAACTCAACATTTTTTTATATACCCACCACTAAATCTTACGTTTGACGAATTAAACGATAAGTGCAGTGCAACAACAAGACAAACGAAGGAAGGGTATGGAAAGAGGGTGAGAACTAAATTAAAATATAGTATGATTTATTTATTGTCACAAGCATCTTTTTACAAAATACACTGAAGAGTTTTGGATAGTGTCGCCACTCTCTAGTGCCATCTTAAAACACAAAGATAAACTAAACCATAGAATATAAAGGCAGACAAAATGAAGAAATAAAGAAAGTGTCCAACTTTATAGTCCACCTTGTTAAGGAGGAGTTTGAGGGGGAGATAATGCATGTGAGCCCATTTCTCTGCCCAGTGTCTTATTCTCTGTCCAGAGATGCTATTACAACCTCTGGATATGTTTTTCTAAGCCACTGCCAAATCACTTAAGTTTCTAATGAAAAGAACAATTTAGAAACATAGCCCATCAGGGCCAGTGCACTGGCAACAGAGTGAGAGGAAAAGTACGGAGAGAAGGAGGGGTTAAATTAAAATGGAGTTGGAGAGAGGAGATCATGCATTCCAGTCCCCATGGGGTCCATCTCTTTCTAAAGGCAAAAGCACAGCGTTAAAACGTGGTGAAAACATTCCTCACAATTGTATGGCACCACAAAGCAGTATAGAGCCATTTGTTTCACTTTGCTAGTGGGATCTTGCTCCGTGTAAATTGGCTAGACATTTGCTTTCCCACCCAGAGATATGACTGTTCAATATAATCTGCTGTATGTGAACTATGTCTGAGGAATGGAATCATTTGAATGGTTGTTTGCAGATTAGCTATTCTAAGCAGAGGACCTCCCAAGGTCCCAGATTTCATTTTTATTGATGTTCACCTATAAAAGCACACACCATACAAAGTTCTTCGCCGTCAATAAGAGAAATGAGCAAACCTGCAATTATTACAGCAACCCATCTGAAAGAAAGGTATTAATGTATTGTATTACCTCTCTTCCCAACATTTCCGGAGATCTCCGCATCAGGAAACTTCCCCTCAATGGTATCGGAGAGTTTCTGATAGCGGTCTTCGTACCCTCATGCACCACTACAAAAAGAAACACAAAAATGGAGTTTGCCTGAAACTTCACAGAAGGTGTAGCAGCAAATTTATTAACAGTATCACAACAGCCAGTGCAATTATCTGACAAAGTGTCATACATAATTAAAATACTCAGCATATTCTTGAGCCACCTTGTTTCCTGAATTAACATCCCAAATTCCAGCAGGTCCTCGCTCACATGGTGCAACAGTATGCAAGATTTCATGTTAGCCTTGGTTCAGTGGGGAGTGCACACAGCTCAAGTTGGAAAGTCAGGAATTCAGGACTTAGCCAGAGACTTGAGTATTTAATCCAAGCTGCAACACCAGGGTCAGCAGTGAGGGTGCACCGTGCCATCAGTGTATGATTCTCTTAAAACCCAATCTATCACGTTACATACTATATTTGGTCTCCCCCTGCCCTCTGTAGTTCACGGGATATTCGTACAAGCAAATCCCATAAACAAGAACAAGGTCAATGTATTATTCCCAGCATTCTACGTTGAACAGTAAATCAGTAATTCTGAGGATCTGAGATAACAAGGTGTAGAGCTGGATGAACACAGCAGGCCAAGCAGCAGAGGAATAGGAAAGCTGACGTTTCGGGCCTAGACCCTTCTTCAGAAATGGGGGAGGGGTAGGGGGTTCTGAAATAAATAGGGAGACAGGGGGAGGCGGATAGAAGATGGATAGAGGAGAAGATAGGTGGAGAGGAGACAGACAGGTCAAAGAGGCGGGGATGGAGCCAGTAAAGGTGAGCGTAGGTGGGGAGTTAGGGAGGAGATAGGTCAGTCCAGGGAGGATGGACAGTTCAAGGGGGCGGGATGAGGCTAGTAGGT